GGCTCAACTACTTTTTCGTCAAAACCGAGGACATGGTGGCCAACGCAAGCGGATTCCCTGATACTTGGAATTACGCCCGTAAGTATCTTTTTTTTATCCAAGCATTTATTTTTCCTATTTTAGTCGTGGTTTGACATTCCGTCCCTTCTTCGTACAACCGAGAATACGCCCCATCCTTTGGTCGGGCACATTCATGACTGGGTCAGTCGGATTCTTCCTCACACAGTGGGGGTTCGTGAATAGCCGGCCTTTCTCAAGAAGTTCGGCCTGCGCCTTCCGCGACCGGTGAGTTCACTTGTACATCTTTTCATCTATATTGTTTTGACCTCACGGTCTCTTACCCGTTGTAGTTTTGTGTAGGAAGTGAATCTTTTATTCTATCTTTTTTAGCCCGAGGACCTTCGTATAGACCGAAGGCCCCTCCTCCTGCATTTCATAAGAGGAAGGTTGCTTCTTCGGAGTCGGTTCCCATTATGACCACGACCAAGCCTGCCCGATTGTCCGCTTCTATTCCTTCTACTGCCGCAGCTAGGTCTGCCTGGTTATCGACCACACCTACAATAGAACTTCTGACTTCCCATTTGTATCATCTAGTTGACGAGGACGATGAAGCGGAATTGACGCCGAGTGGAGATATCTTGCTTCCCCATAAGAGGAGATCAGTGATGGAAGATTTCATCATCCGAGAGACGATTACTATAGAGCTTGGAGGTGACGCCGAGTTGCCGCCCGTGATTCCTTCCTCGTCTGAAGCCGAAGAGGGTACATCTCTCCATAAGACCGTGATGGGATTTGAAGGGCCATTGGCGAGAGTCCCTGATGACTTGTGGCAGGACGAGCCATCGGCTTCGCGACCGGCCGAGGATCTTTCTTCGAGGGACGACTTAAAAGGAAAATGCGTAGCTGAGGAAGGTTACGAGACGGGCTCTGACATGGATACCGAGGAGGTGAGGATGATGGGGGAAGGATTTACCCGACTCGAGATGAGATCGGAGGGGACCACACGGACTATTGCGATCCCCATGGATCAGGACTTGCTGGTGGGCATGAAGGACGTGGTCTTGCTCTGATGTGGAGGGTAAAACCTTTGAGAAGTTAAAGGATGCCACTCTATCTAGGAGCATAGCCGGCCTCGCTTTTAGGGTAAGTTTTTCGATACCTCTTCATTTTCGTATGACGAGTTCAAAGTTTCGTTCTTACTCTTCGCTTTCTGTTTTTCTTTTAGACCATGATTTTGGAGATTGAGAGCGCCCAACGAGAGGAGAGGTGTAAGGCTATTTTTCAGAAGATGGAGCAAAAATATCGTGAATACCGTACCAAGCATCGCGAGATCTGCAGATGGTTCGGCGAGAGCGGCAGCTTCCGGGCTCTCCGAAATGAACTGAAAGAGAAGGATGGCGAGTTGGTAAAAGTCATCGGAAAATGCAGCGTTCTCGAGGGGGCGTTGAGGGAAAAAGAGGAGGACCTTGAGGTGAGCAGGGGGGTCGAGGCCCAATGTGCCGACCTTCAAGCCCAAGTGGTCTCATTGCGCGCTGAGCTCGAGGAGTGTCAACTCAAAGCGGACGCTCTGACTGGAGAAGTCGCTGAGCAGGTAGCGAGTTTAGAGAAGGCGGAGTTAACCCAGTTGTCGGCTTCGAGGACAGTGGGGGCTTTGGAGATCGTGATCCGCGTTCTCCGTTCTGAGCGGGAAGGTGCTCTGGAGAAGGTCAGTCTCAGAGAGGAGCGACTTGATGAGCGGATAGGGGAGCTGGAAAAAGAGGCTTCGGGCCTTAGTGATCGAGTTGCTGCTCTCGAGGTCGAGAAGGTGCAATTATTGGCTTAGCCGTCCTCTTCCCGTACTTCTTATTTTCCTGATGTTTCGCGGGATTTGTACGAGGAATGGATTCACGCCGAGGCCCAGCTAGATATATTCAGGGATCTGATGGGAGCGGGGGATGTTTCAGAAGCCGATTTCGAGGATGCTCGTGCTAAGGCACATAAAGCTTGGTTTGCTTGTGGCTATGATCCTGCTACACCGGAAGCCGGTGATGACGAGGAAGCGGGCGTGGATCAGATTGAACAGGACACCTCGTACGAGGATGATATCCCGCTGGCGATGGCGATGTCGATGGCAAAGAGGTAGGTGGAGATGGTCTGGGCGATCAAGTTGTTAGTGCTGTTGGGCCAGGCGTTGATTAGTTATTTTTCCTTCTTTTTTGTTCAGCCGCAGACTTATGTGTATTTTTTGTAGGCGTGTATTCGAGCCTTTGTGAAAAAAATTCTAAAGTATAAAATGTTAGTTGTGTTATTCGTACTAGATTCATTTTCTTTGTTCGAGTTTGTATGCTTTTTTGATTTTGTTGCTTGGTTGCCTTCGTCATAATAAATTTGTTCGAGTAGGTTGAACGAGGTTGAAACGAAGTCTAGGTTTGATCTCGGCCAAGGGCCAGAAAGTGTTGGTTCGAACGAGGTCGAACACATCGCATGTTTATCTATGTCCGAGGGCCGATTAGGTGTTCATTCGAACGTGATTGAATATAACCTTTGAGTAGTGGGCCGAGTATGTGTTAATTCAAACGAGGTAGAATGTAACCTTCATTTGGGGAGAGCAGAAATAAATTTCATGTACTTGTGCTTTGTTCATATTCTTGGAGAGATTTATATATTTTTCCGGCGTTGGCTGGTAGTTCAGTCCCAGTCTATCTAGTCCCTTTATAAAACCATATCTTTTTTGCAAGTCTTAGCGGACAACTCCTGATCATCGAATTATTCCTAGCTATATGATGAATTATATGTTTCACTTATTGAACATGGGTTTGTATATAATAACATTCGCGTCAAGAAATTAATCGGGACCGAAAAATAATGCAACAATTATAGTATTTTTATTTCAAATACTATGAGTGGTGCAATCTCTATAATTGCTTTGATTTTCCTTTTCTAAGATATATTCAAGACATTTGAGCTTGATCTTCAATTTGAATTTGATCTATCCGTCACGTACGTGTTGATGGTTGGCACGGACAATAATTCTATCACAAGTAACCTTGATCTTGAACGCCTTATATTTGATTTGACTTCGTTCTTGATCTTGAATACTTGAAACTTGTGTTAAAGTGCTTGAATGCTTGAACACTTGGAGTTTGTAGAGAATTTTAGCCTTTGATCCACAAGCTCCCTTGTATCTTCTTGTTAAACCTCGGCTTCTAACTATTCCTAGCTATATAATATTTTTTTTAATTCCTTTTTCTGTTACTGTAATTCAATTTATTATTTTCTTATTTGACTTTTTCATTTGTAACTTATATGCCTCTAGAATGAAATCACTTTACATAGAAAGGCAGACAAGATAGAGACTTCCTAATAGAAATGAGTCACAAACTTCAATTTCAATAAAAAGGAAGAACATAGATGAAGGAGAAAGGAGGAGGTCCCTTTTTTGCCAACGTCTGTAGTAGCTACATGTTTGGTATTTGCCTAAGCTTTAGTATCATCTCAAATGAAGATGTGACTCTTAACTCTAGGGTTATCATTTGAAATTAACTTGTGATTATGAATATGACACTATACTTAATGTGGCCACAGCTCTATAGCAGCAAAACATTAATTTCCCTGGCTGTCTCAAACTCATATGATCAGAAGATTCCATTTCTCTCAACATTATTCACACGACAGCCAGATCAAATGTCCCATTTCGAGGACTGTTTTCTTTTTTCTTTTGTCCTTGTCCTATTTGAAAAAATAATAAAAATATGGAATATTACAAAGGAGTGGTCCAGTATTCTATCCCTAGTTAAGTAGCGCATACTTAGAAACACGAGATGAACTAGAAGTTGGTTTACGTTATGTTCTCTCAAAAGGTGTTATTAGGCCAATCTTGAAATAGGGAACTTGCATTGGACAAGCAATTAATTTAAATATGTGATATTTTGATGTTGGTCTTCTTCTTGTCCATTACTTTTTCCCTCATTTGGTTTTCTTGACATTGATAATTACAATTTCAAACCAACAATTCAAAATGCATTATTCAATGAGTTTAAGTTTTATGCTACAAACAATGCTAAAATTATTATAAAATATATTTTTTATAAGGTAATTACAAGTTAATTTATAGTATAATAATCATTAATTTATAACATGATAAAAATGTTAAGTGACATGCTAAAATACTAATAGCGTTTTTATCTTGACAACATATGTAAATTAAATAGTCATTTAATTAAGAGCGAATTCCATAAAATACAAACCAGATCAGTAAAATTGACGTAGGATAATGAAATTTACTTTCGCATTTTCTAGGGAACGAGGATTATAAAGGAGGAAAATAGGGTGTGTTAATTTGACAAAATCAGAAGATACTATAATCAAAGGAATATTGCGCATTTAGTCCCTAAGTTACTGACAAATTTCAATTCTGGGATTGTGATATCTATTAAATTTAACCTTCAGTCATTTAAGCTTATGACCCTCGATTTGTGAAGTCAGGTGAGTTGAGTTTAATTGATTATTAGTGACTAAACCACATGACTGACTATAAAATGCTAGTTTGTGCCACTTCATATTTTTAGGGGTAACAATAGTAATCAACATAGTTTGGATATAGCACAAACATCCTATGTATTTAAAGGAATCGAAAGTACACGTTTTAGTAAATCGAAAGTTAAAATGTATTTAGCAAAATACCATAAAAACAAAAACCAAATTCACCAAAAGATGAAGACCAAAAGTGCAACTACAAAATAAAAATAAAAGAGAGATGAAATGTATTTTTCTAAAGTGTTTTTGAAGGCTACTTTTTTCTGCTTCTCAAAAACTGTCTCTGCTTCTATTCAAAAACATTTTTTTTTTCTTTCCAAAAGCTTGCATAATACAGGAAACAACATCATACTTGCACTTTCTGAAGAATCAAAATTTCACAAGATCTAAGATAACAAAGAAAACATCCACCTGAAACCCATTGCAGGTATCATACACAAAATTGACCCTCCTGTAAAATCAATGACACGTGTACCATTTGAACAGATTGATTATAAGTTGTCAATTTCGATTTCCTTGAAAAGTTTAGAGGAGAGAAAATTCGAAGAGTCTACTTCTAGCCATAAAATTATACGAGTTGTTAGCGTTACCTAGTAGAATGAACCTGACACCCTTTGAAAATGCTGAAAAGGTAGGAATTACAAATCATAATAACTTGTACATGCAACAACCACTTGCACTTGCAGGTTCATGCTGGTGCTAGCATTTTGAGCACTTCATGATATTCAAAAGCAGCCTATCAGTAGCTATGTTGCTCGGATTCTCCGAAAATGTCGGTGGGGGCATATCGGATCCTCCAACGGTAGTGCATTTTTGAAAGATCCGACACGGATGCGACAGTTGTTTTGGAAAGTCCGCACAACATGGAATTCAGCAGCACTGGCATAAAGGACTAAACTGGATGCTCCAAACTCGTTGGCTTCAGCTTGAAGATTGTACGCAAACACACGTATATTAAAACAATTATAAAAAACGTACATACTTATGTTATACTGACAGCTATATCTGCAAAGGAATTATAGATGTAGTGATACTCCACGGATATTGCTTAAGATTCTTGATTCGCCTCAGCGTATATTCATCAGTGAGCAGTCAAATAGCCTCGAGATGTAACCAACAGGCACCGGACCCTTTAAGGAAAAGCATATGAAAAGAAACATCCAGATAGCTGACCTTCCAAAATTCTAAGAGCAGCCATTAATAGCAAAATGGAATGATTTCATAAACCTTTAATATATACAAAGGATAAAGATAAACTTGATCATTGCGTTTAACAATGCCAGAGCATTGATTTGCTTCGCAAATATATCATTTCCTCATTGCTAAGATGTTGTAATTTCAGGTGCATTCCCTCGATGACCAGGGTGAGCAGCTGAAAAGGCATAGTTAGGACAAAGTCAAAAGAAGCCAAGAGATCCAAAATTGTTCCCCTCCCCCTCGGATCTAGTTTTATTTCCAGATTTCAGAGGCAGTCTATGCTGCTGAGCCCACCGCGCATTTTCACTGAGACTTGAAAATCAGTCTGACATTAGTAGGCATACTTTATGATTGCTCATGGGTTGCATATCATGTTCGTGTATATTTGTAAAGCTGCCAACATAGGATGCTCCTCTGAACTCATCCCGAGCAAAACCAAGGACATGAGGCTGTCCCAAGCATCACGCTAATGCCAGTTTGTGATGTCTGCTTTAATCCTAACTCATCTATGCTCTGTCTTGCTCTTTTTCAGAAACAGAGACATCCGCTCAATGTAATCAGGATCTGCACGGTGCCCTTCCAACAACCATTGCAGAGCCTCAGCTGCTGCATCTTTTTCAGCTTGTTTTTTGTTGTTGCAAGGCTGTCCCATTATCTGCATCCCATTGAACTCTACAGTTGCTTGAAACTGATTGTTATTAAGTTGCCTTGTCTTGTAGGTTGGTGTTGCATACCCTGCTCGATTCAGCAACGTCTGTAGCTGAGACTTAGAATTTTCACCTCCTGGACCACTTTCAGTCCTTGACATCGGAGCTGGTGGTGCTGCTGCAGCACATGGCTTGGAAGTTAGTAAAACCTGACGACTAAAAACAAATCTGCCACCGCATTGATCCTCTGAGATAAGCAACCGTATTGCTGACAGAAGTTCATGATAACTATGTACATCCATCCTGGGATTCAGGAGCTGTACATGCCAATTGTCGACTTCAATTAAGAATTATTTCAACAAATGTTAAACAAAATCTGCACTTCTTCAGACTTGAGAAGGCACAAGTCACAATAGCATTGCATCTATTGTGCACCAATCCATTAGCAGAATTGAAGACAGACGGAGATAGTAAACAATGACTTACTTTAGTATGAATTAACTCATCAAGCTCTCTTCTTAGACTTCTATACATTTCTGCTATAGTAGGGCTCATATAGAAGTCTAAGTATCCACCTAACATTTTCAAGTGACCGTCCTGTGAAATGAAGAAAATCATTCCAATCAACAAGAGAATATATATGTAAGCAGGTTAGTTTAGACTTGGAGTTACATCAGTACACAAAATTCTCCTTCATGATCTTGGATCAAAGGAGGGCAAGATGGGAGCTCACCACTTCTCCTTTTGAGATGGTTCCTCCAAATAGAAGCAGCACTGAGTCGGAGATAGCTGTGGAATCCCGGAGAAAGACAGAGTTCACTTTGATCTTTTCATTGAAGATCAGCCAGGGATATGGTATCCTGGAGTCCCGGGCATTAATGGAGTTCTTTGTATATAACAAGAAAGAGAGTTAAATCAATGTGACTTAAATTAAAGAACACCAAATACGCAGGTATTATACTCACCGAGTGTAAAAGCACCTGACCATCTTCCATTGTTTTCAACGAAAATGACTTCTCATTATGCTGCAAAAGCATTAATATCAGTACCACCATCCGAAGCAGGGATACTTCAATGTTCACTACAGAGTTTTTTTTTTGGGTTTGGGGTGGGGGTTAGTTAAAGATTAAGATCATCCCAAGAGGGCACTTTCACTAATATATAATTATACATTTGTAACTATGGATAAATGCTAGTGTCCAGATTGTTTCGAAGGGAATAAAATGGCAGAGACTAGCTGTGGAATAAGATCCCTAAGATACTACGTTGAAGCAAATAAAGAAAGACTAGGTTTTACCAGGACAGAACAGATTCCAGGATACAACCCATAGCAGATAATTGCTCGAAGGAGGTGCTCATCGTAACTCCAAGAATTATAGATAGTATTATTGCTGTCAACAAGACCAGTATCCTTCAGCAAAGAGTAAAACTCCCTGCGAAGAGAATCAATAGCTTTCATAGACTGTGCAGACAGAAAATTCTTCCAGCAGTACTCATATCCAGCTAGGTCTCTTTCAGAATCCTTCCAGCCCTCATATGCTCGAACAAGAGCAAGATGGTCACTATAATCGCGTGAAAAATGAGCCTTAGCAGCGTCCGCAAGCTGAAAACAAGAGGTAGCACGTCTCAAAACGATTACTGGTCTCTCAAAGAAAGTATGTCTGACCCAACTAATGAAGATGAATCAAACATTGATTTGACAGCAAAGTGGAAGGCTTGACTTACATCTTTCTTGTCAAGCGGTGTCAAGAAGGGATCTCGGACACTAAGACCAGCAACGATAGTTAATATCGGCTCCAAACAATTCAAAGTTGCACCAAGTATAAGCATTTTTCCGAGTTTAGGCTCCATTGGAAGCATCGTTAAGTAACGTCCTGTCATTGAACCACAGCAAAGACAGAAAAATCAGAGGACTAAATGGTTAGACTTGAATATGATTATGATTCAATAACAGCCAAATTTCATACCTAGAACAGTCAAATTTTCACTCTCATCTAAAGCCCCAATAATTTTCAGATACTCAATAGCTTTTTGAACCTATCAGCAAAACAAAAGGAAGAACTTCACTTACAGCAACAAGCAAAGAATGAACTTGTACCATTTTCGAGATGCTCTGAACTTACAGCATATGCCAATAAACTGTAAGAATAATAAAATTGTTATAATATCATAAATACACAAGTAAGAGCAACAAATCTGAATGAGCATTACCGCTAATAACTCAGGGGATTGCAAAGCCCTTGAAAGGAACTCAGAGATGCTACCGAGTTTTAAACTTTTAATTTGCAAACAAAGGGATTGCAAAGGGGTCCTCAGAATTTCTGGTAATTGATAATCAGCAAAAGCATCATACACACATCTGGGATAAAGATGATAGCATTCTCCAGGATGAACACGTCCGGCTCTTCCCCTTCTCTATCAGTTGCATGAGTGAACAACATCATACAGTTAAATTATTATAGGCAGTAACTGAAAGATTATTAGCATGAAAAGGGAGAACTTCCTATTAAAGAAACAGAAAGTTCTTGTACCAAGCACATGTCATAACATGGTAAAAACTTGTCATGAACAAAAAAAAGATTGACAGAAAATAAAGTGAAATAAAATCCTTGCGGTCTTACACATATTTTGAGTCATATCATTCTACCAGTAAACCATGATTTACCAAGGCCGAGGGTTGAGCCTTGTTATCTGCGTGTCTGTGTGTGATGAGTGTAAAATCATAGGCTATAATAATATAATTTTCTAAGCAATTCCCTTTCTTTTTTTCCTATTCGTGTTCTTGGTAAGGTATGAGGAAATAAAGAAGGTGGATATTTTAGGAGAAAAACAACGATGAAATATACCAAGTACACTGAGTTTGCATTCCAACTCAAACTCCAAGCTTTTGCAACCATCCAAAGACTTATCTTGCTTAGACCCAAGAACTCTTGGTCTTGACATTCAAAGAATCGGTAGTAACAACTTGTTTCACGTAAAAGATCAATGAAGGCTACATTGCCAATTATTATGCAATGACAAGCTACAACTATACTATTATATATAGTGTCATCTTTAGTCTTCAGCTATTTTTTTTCCCCGATGAGTTGAGTCTCTGGCAAACTCTTAGTACTGCTAGTTACTTGGCAGACTGTATCCGCGACACCCTCTCTTCCAAATTGTAATGTCCATGTAGCCTACTTTCTCAAAAAACTGAAAGTCTACTTAACCTTTTTGGGCATTCAAAAATGATGTCCGCTAAGGAAAACTCATATTCAATATTTTATAGCTAGAGTTCTTATCCAGAAAGAACATTTTATAGCCTGAATTGCAGTTGGCTCTCACAGGCCTAAACGACGCAAAGGATCAACCAACCGCTGAACATGAACATTTCTTGATTTTTTTTTGGAAAATCCAAAAGCAACTCAATGGTGCTTTCCCATTTGAATACCAAAACCATTTTTTCAGCCTTCCTAGGACATAAAGTTTGGGACAGAGGAAGTAAGTAACTTAGGACTTTGTTAGCCTAAAACCAAAATATTCTACAGCTTCTATCATATTTGCACTGGGTTTGGCAGGACTTCTTATCACAACAATTGCCATAGACAAAGCGTAGAACAAGTGCAGAGGTCTTCCTTAAATATTGACATTCAACAGATAAGAAACGAATAGTTACATGACTCGACTACGTGATTTTTTTTTTTTTTTTTTTTTTGATAAGGACTCATTCTATGGATGAATTTTTACAAATTAACTTGGTATAAGAACATGGATGATGCTTTGGAGCATAAAAGCAGGGGAAGTACACAGAATGCTGTTCCTGTTTCACAGCTTTTGAATACAAGGAAAAGATGAAGCATAACCTAACAATCCAATTAGGAATTTCATGACTTAAGGTGCATAATACAAGGGAGCAACAAAGCTTCACCGAGAACCATCATACTCGGAACATTTGCTTTACCTTAAACTGAAGTAATAAATGCGTCTTTAGTAAGCCACAGGTCTCTTTCTTAAAAGGGCTATTACGAAATATAGACTATGAAGATTGACTTCCAAGACAGGCAGGAATTCAAATAGAACTGAAAATCTTAATTACTTGGATAGAGATACAGCAAGAAGATCCCATACAGTAAATTGTGGCAAAAGCCAAAAATTATCAGACTCCCTCGATCAAAGGACTTCCTGGAATGAAGTAAACCTAAGGTTAAAAAAGTACTCGTCAAATCTGAACTTGAAATTGAAATGTGCTTCAAAGCACAGGCCATTCATCAAAGAAAAGGTTCTTGTATGGGTAGTCTTATTGGTAGCACAAATGAGTATATGGTTTTCTTGGACTTGCTAGGGGGCAGACAGTAGATGTAATATTTATGTTCTTTATGTTCTGATCTGCATTCCCTTTGTTATTGTACTACTTGTACCATCTTGGTACCTTCTATCAATAAAACATTTACCTTTTCAAAAAAAAAAAAAAAAAATCAGCTAGTGAAGTATCATATGTCAATTTTCAAACAACTTTTTACAGTTAAAGGAAGCTTCATAGTTCATATAAGCAACCTCCCACATTCCATAATTGAATCAANAAAAACTCTTGTATGAGGATCAGAAATGTGATATTTTGACAGTTTTGTAGATTCACAAAGCATCTGATGATGCATTGTTATAATCACTGTACTTGATAGATTTTTGAAAGACCTAAAAGGTTCCATGGGTATCATTATTGCTTTGCTAGTCAATCTATCTATTTGCAGCTATTAGGCATTCCTTCCCATATGCACGCTTCCCTTCCCCTGCCAGACTGTTGCACTGAGCTAGGGAAAGAAAATCTATCACAAAATTCTAAGCATGAATCACACAATTTATTATAAAGCACATACACAACCATATCTTCCAAGAAATTTCAGAAACAAAAGGACAAGAAAAGTAGAGTGCCTTACTTGTCGAGCTGAAACCTTTGAAATCCAAGTAGGAAGCAAACAAGGAGTATTATTAAGTGCATCATATGACGTCTCTTTTGCCTTGCCACAGTCAATAACATAAACTACGTCATCAATTGTGATACTGGTTTCAGCAATATTTGTAGCCAACACTATCTTCCTCACTCCATCTTCAGGCTTGTCAAAAATTAACCTCTAAATGCATGAAGAGCGAGTAATGAGTAAGCAACACATAAAGAACTTAGATGTTAAACTGGAAAATTAACATCTGTGAACTCCTTTTTATTTTCTGAAGTAGGAATTAGTGAATTATAGAACCACTCAATCTAACAAGTCAAAAGGTAAGAAAAGCCATCGTTTTGATAGACTAGAGAGCATCAAATCACCAGTTAATGGGCAGAACACAATATACAAATTACCAAACGTACAAGGACAGAGAACAATCGAACATGAATGACTAGTAATGCTTATACTGTAATTTCAGATTAGTAACAGAAAACACTTTCCTAACAATTGCATGTAAGAAAAATATAGCATGTAAAGCAAATGCAAGGTAAAAGGATTAATGCAAATTTCTTTACCTGCTCCGTACTAGCCATAGAACCATGGCATGCCAGCAATAGAACACGGCTGGTATTTCCCAAGATAGGATGACATTGTAGCTTATCCTTCAGAGAATTTATATCATCCCAACCAGTCATAAAAACTAAAACAGCACCAGGCCTTTCATTTTCACAAATATGGCATAGAATATGTTCTATAAGATTGAAGCCTATACAATCAGGATTCCAACAAGACAAAGACTCCTGTGTCACAGGGCTAAATTCTTTGAAATCAGCAGCTCTGAGGGCATCCTGACGACAAAGAATATATTAGCACAGGAATTGTAGCAAATGCAAACTGTGGAAGTTGCTTTTAAGTTGGAAACCTCAACAGCAGAAGCAATCTGGCTCTTCCTTTTTCTTGGAGCTTGCTTGTTCATTTTCCACGTTCTCTCCTGACCATAATCATCAATCTGATTGTCTGGCGTCAATCTGTATCCCGACATCTCCAGAATATTTTCGAGGAAATGAGTGCGAACGGGATATGTAAATCCCTAATAGACACAATGGAAAAAAATTTCAACTTAAAGCACTCCAACTATTCATGAGTTTCCTAATTTTAAGGATAGCAAAAGGAGAAATTCACTGACGAAGAAAGTAAAATTTTAGACTAAACGTCCCCATCAACACATAATACTATTTTTTTAAAATGAGCCATCACCACATAATGCATTTGACATGTACTTTACCAAAATACCCACAAAACAATGTGGAAGCAATGGAAGTATGGATCAAATTGCGTCGAGGAAGAAAAGATGAATCTGTATTTGTTGCTTGGTGCCTTAACTAAGACATAGCAAGCAGGGATGATGTTAAACATACAGGTGCGCTACCTAGAAAGAGAAGAAATGAACTACCACATACTCAATTAGAAAAAATCCCACATCCTCAACCAGAAAAATTCAATCCTATTCCTTTAGCAACTGGGAAGATCTGTGTCTTCTCTAAGCAAAAAAAGCACCGCAAAAAGGGAAGCTGATCGAATCCCAATCTCAACTAATATTGTCAAAACCCTTCATGCAAGTAATCATTCCAGTTTTTTTTTTCTTGGGATAAGGTTCATGCGAGTAATCTTTCTAGATTTATACCCTTCTGACTTCTCATCGGAAGAAACCTTACCATCTAATTTGATTTGTAGCAGCATAACAAGAAGCCTACATAAATATTACACCACCCAACCATACACAAGGAGGTAGACAGACCCAACTTTAACCTGGTCTCCGCAGATGTTGATAGGGATACTCTCAGCAATCTCTTCTCTAAGATTTCTTTGAACAGTGAATTCTCCATGTCATTTTCTATTGCATATTATATCCACGATCAGCGGCAAACATTTCAAGGTTAAATAAAGCAATTGGTTATAGATCAATTCATCAAATGTTCATTAGGATCAAAACAGTTTGCATTACATATATATTGAGTAACCAAATGTAATCCGACCTGCCCTCATTTCATCTCCTTTATGAAATTGCTATTTGTAGCTACCAAAGATAGCTTCCCTTTATCTTTGTTCTTTTTCCTTTATCACAAAAAAAAAGAAAAAAAAAGAAAAGATAAAGGGAAGCTTAGTGACTCACTGACTCATGAATGCAACATAGTGATAATCACATTCAAAAAGAATTTCTACAGCCTAATAAGCACCCGTTGACAATTCGGATTTCTAAGAAAGATGATATTGGATTTTCTTGAAGAAAGCAACAAAGCAGTATATCAGTCCGAAGAAATTGAAAGATCGGCTCTCCATCTCACAACAGTAAGTACATTTAAAACAAGAATGCATACTACAAATAAAAGAACTATAGAAGCTCAACAAACAAAGTAGACTTCAAATGGGAATAGAAAACCATTTAGCAAGAACTAAACACTCAAATGAAGAACTAGCAGTTATTTCTGGGTTAATAAACTTTTTGATAGTTATAACTGGCTTGCTAAATTAATCAAATACCCACATCATTTCCCATTAGATGCCTTTGCCAACACTAGTTCATTGCTTTTCTTGAGCAGCGAATGGTGCATGTTGCAAAGGAGAGAGACACTTAAGGGTTCCGCAAATGGAGGACTTGATGCACCCATCAAGCGACTAAGAGGACAGGTAAGACGACCAGAGGAAGGAGATTAGAGAGATGATAAAGTTGTGTGTGAGAGAGAGATAGAGAGAGGCAGAGAGGTGATCAGCTGTCTATTGTTAGCAGAGCTGTCATTAACCTGTTTGGTTATTAATCCTAAATTGTAGCAAACCCAAGCTATTTGAAGAGTTTGGCCTATCCCACTTTGACCTACCTACGAATGTGTTGAATCAACAAACCTGTCACTCCAGGCAGTTACTTGTTTGACACGTCAAAATTCCAAGCAGAACCTCTTACCAAGAGTTAAAAGAATCTACTTCAGGATTGAGGCTTTCACATCAATAACCCTAACCTAATTGTGATCTTCTTTTTTTTTGTTGATAAGGGACCTAATTGTTATCTTCAATGCTCAACTAGCAAAGGAGCTTAACCCATGAGTCCATGACCCTTATGAAATTAAAAACAGTTTCTCAACAAAGGAGTATCGTTAATAGTGCAGTGCCTACCAACAAGCACAAGTTGTTGCGCTGTCTCAAGTTATATGCTACACTTTCTATTTTAAGACGTCCTCGGATATTTTCATTCTTTTACAATGATTTTTAATGAAGTACTCACTATGTCTAATTCTATATGAGGGTAAATTGGATAGATCTGGAGTTTAAGATGTTGATTAGACTGGTTACTAATAATAGTGCAAGAGAATATTACAGTATTGGTTTAAAAGTTAGTTCAATATAGAAAAAGTCATATCAAACTTTATAATTTGAATAATTTAAAGTACTTGAATTCATGAAAGTTGTGATTTGTATAAAAAAAGGAATTCTGTCTACATTTTGCATGTCCAAAATAGAAGAGTGTCACATAAATTGGGGCAAAGGAACTAATTTAATTGATAAAAAGGAGAAATCTCATGTACAAGATACATAAAAAAGGAAGCAAATCTCAGACAGAAACATCTTTATGAAGAGAAGCACTTGCAATAATATTTTTCTCACAACTTTCGCAAACTTCAACTATTCACATTATTCAAATTTAAACATTTATGATTCTTTCCTTATTCTACTAAATTTTTAACTACTATTTAGCATTTTTTATACAAAACACCTGTTTTACTATTTGCTTTTACTACTCTACCAGTATAATATACAAGACAAATTAACCTTAAACTTTCCATGTAGTCAAACTATGTCTCACCACATAAACTGGAATTCAGGTAGTAATAGAACAAGAGTCGGTAGAATAGGACCATTGGCATAAATGAATACTGCACATCAATTAAAAACACAACTAGCCAACCAACTTACTCACCGGAATGTGGACCAGCGGAGCCCCACCAAAGTATGAAGAGAAAAGCTTTGCATCTAAGGTGGCACTCATCAAAATCAACCTTAACTCTGGCCGGCGAGGGAGTAAATCCTTTAGAACTATTAGCAGAAAGTCTGGTACAAGACATTTAATTGTTAAAAATCAGATTTCATGAACTTCACAATCTCTTTAAAAACAAAAATATACCTTCATTTATTCCACGTTCATGAATCTCGTCCACGATTACATGTGTGATGCCCTTCAGATTTCTGTCAATTAGTAGTCTTCTCAACAAGATACCAGTGGTACAGAAGAGGAGGTGAGTATCCCTCCCTTTAACACCTTCTAGCCTCACTTTATATCCAACCTACAGAGACATCAAAGAAGACAGAATACGTATTCCAAATTTTCAGTCAGAATGCTGTGCAAAGAGATAACGTGTGATGGAATGTGTTGGCAGTTAATTTGCTAGTACATAAACTCACTGTTTCACCCAACAACTCCCCTCTCTCTGCAGCAATTCTTTCAGATACAGTCATAGCAGATATTCTTCTTGGCTGAGTACATATGATACTGCACATGGCTCCGTGAGCAGACTCAATTTCAGACTCTAAAATAAATTGGGGAATCTGTGTGGTCTTCCCACAGCCAGTTTCACCTGAGATAATAACCACCTGTGCGTACAGAAAAGCTTTTCTTAATATTAGCATCATCAGGATAAATTTCAAAAAAATCAAACCTTTACCAAGGCATTTAGCTATTTCATGTTTTCTTTTACACCTTCAATTCTGAGCTTCATTAGTTTCCTAAATAAAAAATAGTTTACCAAGCTAAGAGCTGGCCACAACACTCTTAAATTGATCAGAGAGGTCATTTGCAGACAACACTAACACCCAGTAATGGAGTTACCAGAATGCTAGACGAATTTGACAGAACTTCAAAGAGCTCCAACAACTGCACTTTGCTATCTTATTCGATCTTTATTCTTCACCAGGAGGATTCATTTGCATGATGTAAATCTTTTCACGTATTACTTCTTTGCTTAAGCCACACCCCCTAATCCGCGAGTAAAGGGATGAGATTCACAAAGCTGGGGCATACTGCAAAACATACTCCTTTCATTTCATGCATCATTTTTCCCATTTCCTCAGCCCTCATCTGCTTTATGCCTGGCCAATGAAAATTTTGGTTCTCCGAGGGTATGTGAATGCTTTCCCAGATATCTCACATTTGGTGCCAGATATGGAACTGGATAAACAATGAACTGTGACTGGACTAATTTGGGATTGCTAATCCGCGGTAATACTCCATCCAAAAGAGGGAACGGTCATGTCGGAAAAACTATCCTGGGGTTGGGTCTCAAGAGATTATTTTGACCCTCACCTATAAATAGGCCAATACCGAACTCTAGCTCAACTCTCTCTCTCTCTCTCTAGGGAGAAATCTCCAATCCCACCCTCTTTGGGACTCTTGCCCTCACATCTTCTCCTTCACCCTCCCTGTCCGTCCATCTTTCAACCATGTGCCTCTATTCTCCTTACTACCCTTGTCCTCTTTTCCCTCCCCTACCCCGCAAATGCTTGTCATCTGCCGTCTCTTACCTTTCACAATCGCCTTCTTATCCATAATCTCATTCTCTCCCCCCCTCCCTCTATCGGGCTTCTTTCGTCTTTTTTGCCAATTATATTATGTTTGCAACAATTCCCTCTTATCCAGTGGCGGCTCAAGTACAATTGTGGCCTAAAGCCAAAGTTTAATATGATGCCTAATTTTTTTCTAAAAGATTATAATATATATTTTTATTTCAAGTCTATTCTTCTAGCTTTTTTGAGATGCAAAGTTATTAATACTTTTTTATAATCAATTTTTTCAAATAATTCCTTTTCAATTGATAATATAGCCAACTCATTTAATCTTTCTCGAGACATTGTTGATCTTAGCTAAGATTTTATCAATTTTAATTTTGAATTTTTTTTTTCCGTTGAGGAAACTGTTATTAGAATTGTTAACATTATTCTATAAGCAATAAAAATATTTGGAAATTTTTTTATAGTATCTTCTACTTGTGTACTATTTTCCTTGTCATATCAATTCTAATTCACACGTTAGAAAAACTATTCATACTACCTATTTTTAAGTAAGTCAAACGGTTACTTTATTTACATATCTAAAAAAATCACTTTTCTTTTATATTAAAAATTTTGTACTAAAAGTAGTAAATTTTATTTTATTTAAATACCTATAAACCTATTATTTATGTGAGAAGGCACGGGAAAAAATATGTTATTGATATTGGATGATAAATACAATACAAGAGGTCCCTATTTATAGCTATACACTACAAGGAGATATTACTCATCTTCCAATGTGGGACAAGACTACACTATACATATTTGTAAACTAACACTCCCCCTCAAGCCGGTGCATACACATCATATGTACCGAGCTTGTTACACATGTAACTAATACGAGAACCAGTAAGAGACTTAGTGAAAATATCTGCTAGTTGATCATTCAGACTTTACAAACTTTGTAACAATATCTCCTGAAAGTATTTTCTCTGACAAAGTGACAGTCGATCTCAATGTGTGTAGTCCTCTCATGGAACACCGGATTTGACGCAATATGAAGAGCAGCTTGGTTATCACACACTAGTTCCATCTTGCTGATTTCTCCGAACTTTAACTCCTTGAGCAATTGCTTGACCCAAACTAACTCACACGTCGCCATAGCCATGGCCCGATATTCGGCTTCGGCGCTAGATCGAGCAACTACATTTTGTTTCTTGCTCTTCCACGAGACCAAATTACCTCCTACTAGAACACAATATTCAGACGTAGAACGTCTATCAAAAGGTAATCCTGCCCAATCAGCATCTGTGTACCCATCTGACTTTATATACTGAAGAATGCGAACAACTACATCCCAGTGACTATCACAGGGAGAATCCATAAACTGACTTACAACACTCACCGGAAAAGAAATGTCAGGTCTAGTCACTGTGAGGTAATTCAATTTGCCAACCAACCTCCTATATCTCGTAGGGTCTCTAAGAGGCTCCCCCTGTCCAGGCAGAAGCTTAGCATTCAGATCTATAGGAGAGTCAATAGGTCTGCAACCCATCATTCCAGTCTCCTCAAGAATGTCTAACGCAACTTCCGCTGTGAAATAACAATACCTGAGCTAGACTGAGCGACCTCAATACCTAGAAAATATTTCAATCTGCCCAGATCCTTAGTCTGGAAGTGCTGAAAGAGATGTTGCTTCAGATTAGTAATACCATCCTGATCATACCAGTACTAACAATATCAACATAAACCACTAGATAAATACATAGATTAGGAGCAGAATGCCGATAAAACACAGAGTGATCAGCCTCACTACGAGTCATGCCGAACTCCTGAATAATTGTGCTGAACTTACCAAACCAAGCTCGAGGGGACTGTTTCAAAC